CCATTGGTCTTCAGTATTTTGGAGAGGTCCCTAACAACAGACTTTCCCATGGCAATATGTCTTTTAATTTCCTGGCTACTGGTGCCGAGAGTGTTGACTGTGGAGCCAAGCAAACTAAAGCTGTGAACACTCTCAATCTCTTCACCATAAGGACAAAGCTGTAGGTGTCATTCCCTGGTTTTACTCTTCTATCTGCTTAAGCTGAAGACTCAAGCTCTGGTGGCCTACTTCATGGGGGTTGCAGCGCTAACACAAAGTCTGGGCCTTTGTGGTGGTCTGAGTTCACCAGTAACAGCTCTACCACTCAGCAACCCAAGGAGGGTCCACTATGAGTGTTGAACTGACTCGAAGGCAGAGGTTGAGTTTTTGAAAGACTAAAATGCTCAGCTTTCTCTATTAGCACTAATCCGATCACACTTTCTAATTTAGTAACTATGCAATAGCCACCTTGACATTTCCCACATCCTATAAACTCATTTCTGCCTCAGGGCCTTTGCACTCCCTCTTGCCTAACTCATACATCATGTATCTTTCAGGTATGAGTTCAGTTATCACTTCCTCTTTATGCCTCATTTCAACTCTCATGCTCTTCTCTGGAACAAGGGCAGGATCTGCCTTTCTATGGGTGACTGTATGACTAACTCATTTTAAAACAGGTCTAACTTCCGGAAGCAATGCTTAATCTTTTACTCACCAGGGTATTCCTAGCTTCTAACCTGGTGTCTGGCAATAGAGATATAAATCTTTGATGATCAAATAAATAAGCAGTTACATCTGTCTGCAAGGAAAGAAGCATGGGGCTCAAGCCACAGGCTTAAAAGGCAGGCGTTCAAATCCTGAGTGTAATTTGTTAGTCAAGTGGTCTTGGGTAAGTTGATTTAGCTGTCCCAGCTATCATTTTATCATGAAAATGGACAGAATCAAATGCACATGCTGCTGCGTAGACAAGAGATAAATGTATGCTGACTGGCCAGTCAGTAGGTTTCCAACGAGCGACAGATATCATGGTTGTCATCATTATTTCTGGTGTTACCCAATTTGGGACAAAAAGTTCTCTGGCAAGGCCACCAGGCTCCTCAGCAAGACAGGAGAGAATTAAGTGCTCACACCCAAAAGGAAACAGATAACATTTTTTATTAAATATTACAGTGGATCAAAAAGTACAAAATATCTCTTGCCTGCTATGTGATTGGGAAACTATTGGCACGTAATACAGTATCAAAAGCAGTAATAAGTACAATTTGGAAAACATACAAAATTGAGTGTTTATAGTTGGCTCAGCATTCTTCTGGTAGTGTTTAAACTAATGCAAAGGTTTCTCAATAACCTCTCCATTGGGAAATGATATAATATCACTGGGCCATGTCGCTATATACAAATTATCACCTTACAGAGCATAGAGGTTACAGAGCTGGAATCACCAAAAGTATACAATATTTACAACACAGGAACATTTAAAAAAGTATAAACAGCCAAGAGATTATGCTGCTATTCTTCAGACATATTTCAACCGTGGGGAGACAAGCAGAATAGCAAACACATCAACAGCCAACACTGGAGTTTAAGTGCTTAAGATAATCATTGCAATGGTGTGGGTCTCACCAGGGTGAAATCTTTCCCATTTGTCTCCAAAAACTGGGACAAGAGTAAAACTAGACCAGATGGGACTTGGCTGACCATCACCAAATGTGACTTTGTGGAACAACAAGTGAAGAGAAATAAATGGTTCTCTTTGAAGGCACACTACATAAAATATATATATATCATTTTTTTTTTTTTTACTTTTGTGGGACCACCTCAAAATTTCCATCAGACACACCAACACAGTGAAATACAGTACTTGAGAATTCATGCACCAGGTCAGAAAGTTGTAAAGTCAATATTGAGTTTTAACAAACCCTTCTGTATATGCCCTGATAAACAATTGAACTTAAGAGCTTCTAGCTAGAAAATAAATAAGTCAGTCCTGCGGCAAAAAGTTCAAATCACTCATTAGAAGAATACTTAATTCTGAAACTCAGCTGGGCTCTGTGTGTGTGTGGCGTTGCCAGAAGTTAAACCAGAAGTTGCACAGAAAGGTTTTAAAAAATATTCTTTAAAACTCTCCAAATCACCAATAAATCACGTACTTAGTGGAGTTTGGAATTGCAACATTTCTTGGAAGCCACACTCAGTAAATATATTTATGACTCCACTGCCAATTAGATTCCAGTTTCCTTTACAAAACTACCAATAACAATGGTCTGATTGCACAAAGAAAAGCTTGTGCAATTCCATTCAATAATAAGGCCCCTTGAACTCAAACAATGCAAACAAAGCTTTATTTAAGACTTTTTTCCTCCTTTTGCTTAAAAAAAGTCATTCTCAGCCAATGAAGAATTCAATGGTCTTTTAGGGAAAAATTCCCAAGATTTCTGTTTGTAGTTTTAAAACAAATAGTATGCTGCTTCTGTTGGGAATGTGTACTCCCATTTTTCTTTATTTGTATCAATGTTTTGCTTAGGGTACTAGCGTCTGAGACAGAAACAGGGAAATCTCTTCTCAGAAGAGATGAGAAAAAACAAAAGTGGACTATGTTAACATTGTTTGAAAATGGTGTGATCAAATTCCAATGTGATGAAAACAGATCAGCGTCATTGCAGTGGGGAAGACACAGGGCCCCTCTCCCAAACAAACAGGTGAGTTCAAACAGGGCCAGCCTCCACCATCTTTGAGAAATGAACTCCCACAAACCAGGGACACTCCAGCCCACTTCTGCTGCAGAATCAACAGAGGTGCCTTTCCTTCCATGTCCTCCGATTCGGTGACCATTCAATCTAGTGCAACTTTCTTACATGTGTCCTAGCTAGCACTCTGCTAGCTGGAATTGAGATATTCTTTCCCACCCCCTCTACCTTGTGCAATAGCAGGATAATCTGCACTCACACATTTATAATCTAAATTCTACTAGTCTATCTATTGTTCTATTAAATATATATATATATTATTCCACAGGAAGGTAAATAATTAATTGAAGCAAATGGAACTCTTAACACTGGATCTCTACATTCTTTGTTTCCACCTTTGGATAGTAAGTATGTTACATTGTATATTTGGCTTATCATGGAGAGATTTCAGTACAAATGGATGGCATGCATGGCTTTGTTCAAGAGCCGCAGTTTCACTGTTATCGGTTTTGATGATTCTGCAGTCAAGTTACCTATTTCAAAGGTGAAAATTGTCTTCAATTTTCACAGAATTAAATAGCTCAGAGATAAAAGACTTGGTTAACTATGGTTCTAAGGACTATTGGTAGTGTTGGGAGAGGGGAGGGTGGACTGGGGAGTTCAGCCAAGCAGTCTCCAGCAGGGATGGGACTCAGGAAGAAAATCCGTTTGTATGGATTGACTTTAATATGCTTAGGAGATATATCCAGCCTGGATGTTGTAGCTTAATGGCGGACGAGCCACATTCTCCACACCCTTTGACTGCTTGAATAGCTGACTACTTATTTCCAAGAGTAAAAGGAGTCATTACGTGGACTGCATTGCCAGGTATTTTGTTTGTTATTCTTTAATGAAACAAGCCACCTCAGGTGCATGCATACAAACAAAATTCATGCCTGACAACCCAAAAAAGATGACTTGCTTTTCAAATGGATCATCCCGTATGCCAATTACCCCCCAGAATGGGAGATGGGAGGTTCTTCTCGGGAAAGCAATGCTACTGATACCTGTCACTCAGAGACCCCAGCCTAGGAAAAGGGGCTGGCATTCCGACCTCCACCTGCTGTTTTTTTTCCCAATAGTTCAGCTCCTTCCTCTTCCCAACCCCCTTCCCATGATCAGCTGAAGGGAATGGGGCCAACACCAATGTAAATAATTTTGGCTCCTGTTCTAATTTCTGGAATTCCTAAAATATCTGTTCAGCCCACAAATATGTCCTGTAGACTTGTGTTATTCAGGAGCTCGCTGCCAATGAGGTTTTTGTTTTTATGATTCCTCTGGTATGTAGGGCACTTTCACAGCTTAGATAAGGTAAGTACAATGCTCAATATTTTCACATCACCCAATACTTCAAAGCAAAGCATTTGGCCGGGTAAGAAGTGTATATAAGCTCTTCCAACTATGCCATTTACGAAGAACATCAACAAAAAAATCCTTAAGTTGCAGATTCGCAAAGCAACTCCACCTTCTCTTTTCCAATTGTTCCACAAGAATCAGTTGCTTCAATTTGTAAACAATAACTTTACCACTCGAAGCTGCTCAGAATGATAAGATAATGGGGGAAATGACAAGCACACACCAACAATGCCAACAACGAGGACAGTCAGTCAGCCTTGAAAACAAAACAAAACCCAAAAAACAAAAGACCTGCTAATAAAAATGATACTGTTTAATTAATAAAAAAAGGGGTGGGGGAAGATTGGAAGAAAAGGAAACTACCTGTATATAAATTAGGTGAGCAAACAGTGAGACGGGTAGTTTTAAGAAGCAAATATATACAGTCAATTTAACAGTGTTTTACTTCTCTGGATTATATAATAGTGTCAACTAGAAAGGTCTATTGAAGTTTCACTATACATTGCATTGATTGAACCTTGGAGAGTTTGGTAAAAAGAAGGGCCATCTCGTGGCACAGCTTGCCAGCCTCCTTGCTCCTTCCTTTGAAATGCCTGCCCCTTTTATGCCCCAGACTTGTTGCCTGACCATCTGAATGCAGATGGGGTCTTCTAAGTTCTTCCTGTCAACCCTTCAATCTCTTCTCAGAAGCCACCTGCACAGTTGAAATGACTTGGGGATGGCAGGGGGCAACCCATGCTGGAAGGGGGTCCAGACTGGCCAACCAAAGGAGGGCTTCACCCTAGAAACCCCAGGCATGCCCACCTATCTGCTCGGCCCCTTTGGCTGGGACTGCACGCACCCACAGATTAGAAGGAATACGGACTTCTAATTCTACAAGACACCCTCCCAGGGTGAACAGTGGTGCTCTGGCGCCCACGCCGTATGGGGACGCCGGGCTTACAGTTTTGTGCTGGGGTGGACGGATGAGAGCTGGGAAGATGGAAAGGCAGCTTGAGGATTGATAGCAGCTAGGGGATAAATGCTGTTGTGCAAAAGGTCGCCATACGAGTTTCCTACGGGTGAGGCCGCGGCCAAGTGTCTGTACAGCTGCTGGGAGTTTGCTGGCGATGTGAAGATGCCTCTCTGCATCACCAGTGAATGGAAAGTCAGAGGTTGCATGAGCGGAGAAAGCACAGTCTGGTTTTTCAAGTACTGCAGAGAATGAGAATACCCAGCTGGGAGCCTGGAGTTGAGGCCCGAGTTATACAGGCTCCCGGAGTACAAACCTGGGAAGAGAGAGGAAGAGAGGGGCAGCTTGTGGCCTTCTGCCCCGCCCCCCGAATGCCCACCATGTGTCGCTTTGCCACCATCGCTCTCCTGCTCCGAGGCCTTCTCCTTCCCAGAAGGCTCTTTGGATGTGTCCAGAGGAGACACTGCCCGGGCCTTTTTCCCAGCAATGACAAGGTCCAAATCCTCGAGGCTGCGTTTTATAGGCCGCGCTGAACCAATGTTTTGGGGGCTCATTTTCCGGTGCAGAATGGGGTGGACCATGCCTTCCATCTTCCGGAAATTTTCCAACCTCACATGGTGAGGCTTTCCAGATCTCGACAGCGACTCTGGGTACTTTTTAGGGGCAGACATGGTCATAGGCGACACCCGGCAGGCTTTGGGGTGACAGTCTCGGCCCTGGCTGCCTATAACCTGGAACTGGGGGATGCCTTTGCTCTCCTGGGTCCCCGAGGCTGAGTGGGCCAGGCCCAGGACCTTGCCGGTGGGCTTTTGTGGGTTCTTGGGGAGGCTCAGGTCTGTGGGCTGATCATCCGTGGGGCCTTCCGAGACAGCCATCTTTTTGTCTTGCAGGTGCAAAGATGTGAGATAGCTGGCGTGGAGCTTCTCGTGGTGTTTCTGGGAAGGGAAAGCACTGTTCTCGGATTCCCGGTACATGTCTCTAGAAGGGTATTTGGATGCCTGCTCACTATGAATATGGTGCTCTGTGTGTCTGTGGAGGCTGTGGAGATGAGGAGACGAGTAGAAATCAGCCAGGAAGCTCGGCATGTGGGAGTGAGGGTGGGCCCTCTTGTCCAGGAGCTTGTCCTTGCCCTCCTGAAGTTCCTGTTTGAGGACGTAGGAATCAGCCAGGGGACTCAGGTGATGCTTGGAGAAGCTGCAGCGGTGGCTGTCTGGTCGACTCAGTTTGTCATGCTTAAAAATGTCATTGATGGTCTTCCTCTCCTCAGAGGGCTTGCTCTTGAAGCTCTGGACGTGCTGGATCACGGAGGGTCGGCTGATGGTCATGTGGTCCGTGCTGTGGCCGTGGTGGGCCTGTGACAAGCTCGAGCACAAGTCGTCCCTGGCGAGCAGCTTCTTCTTGCTGATCAGTGGGGGTGGGGAGCCGTAGGGGTAGCTTCCCGAGAGGCCAGCCCCACTCACCTGGGACAAAAGCTTCTTCTTGGCCAGTGGGGACATGATGCCAGGGTTGCCCCGTGAGTAGAGGAGGGGGGTGTAATTGAGCCCGTGATTCTCGTTCATGGGCCCAGTCAGATCTTTGTCTTTGAACACATCAAATGACTGGACCACCAGGACTTTGGGAGTCTGCTTGAGGGCGTTGTGGATGTCGTCACTGCCCAGTTGGTCCACCTTGACGGTGCAATTGGCGATGTAATCCGCCATGGCTGGCAGTTTATTATCCTCTACATCATGTGAGTTGGCCAAGGGTGGCGGGGCGGTGGGGAAGCTGGAGAAAGAAGCTTCCTGGAGTTCGCTGTCAGGACTCTCTGTGAAACAGCAGGGTTTGGCGTCTGGCTTTGCATCCATGAGGGCACTGGGAGAGGTGAGGGTCTGTTTGCCAGTCTCTGGGATCACAGCAGGGTCCCTCTCTGGGGCCAGAGGTGCACTTGGGAGTGGGGGTACAGGCTCCTTCTCGGTCCCCTCCTCTGTTGCCTTCTCACCACCAGAACCCTGGTCAGCTTCGCTGTCCTGTTCTGGGTCTTCTCTGGAGGCCGGGATCCTTGATCCCAAATCCACTTTCTTCTTTACATCTGCTGCTGGGAGAGGCTCAGCAACACTTTTCTGGCTCAAAGTCTCCTGTTCCTTCTCTTGCTCTGATGGAACCTGAGAAAACAGTTCAAAAGACAGTCAGACAGAAGCCAAATGCACTGACTCACTGTGCTATGAAATGAATTATCACACACAACAGTGTTTCTTGAAAAGATACTTGTCAATCAGCTCGCAGAGCTTTATTACTCCCCAATCATAGCTCTAAACAAAGAAAGCGAAATTACGGAAACATTAGGGGAAATATGTAAATTTGTTTCAGTCCCTTATGAGACACCTATCAAAATAGCAAAGTGTTATGAACTGATGATATACAATCATATCATCCCTTGATTCTAATATATACTTTAATTCCAAGGTTGTCTACCTGTCAAATCAGTCAATTATCCAAATGGGTTTTAAATTACTTGTTGTGCTTTATGACACTACTGAGAAAGGTTTTTTTTAAAAAGGTCTCTCTTTCACAAACCCAACCAACCCGATGTCAACAACAAACAAGAAGCCTCCCTTGGACCCCCTGCCTTTGAGAAAGCAGAGCCCTTCCACATGTGTTTGGTATCATGCACTGAAAATGAACGCTAGTTGTTATTTGGTGCCATCAAATCAAGGAGTACTCACAGTGACCCTATGAGCAACAGATGTGAACTCTGTCCCATGCTGTGCCTTCAATCTCTGACAACTTCAAGACCATCGCTGCAGTTACTGTGTCAATCTACCTGATTGAGGGTCTTCCTGTCTTTTGCTTTCCCCTCACCTTTCCAAGCATGATGGCCCATGGCAACATGCCCAAAGTATGCAAGACAAAGCTTCTCCATCCTTGCCTCCAGGGAGTACTTTGGCTGTCCCTTCTCTGAGACCATTCAGTGTCACATGACATGCAGACAATGCTAAAGTACTGAAAAATAATGCAGGTGCTGGAAGTCCCTACCTACCTGAGGGATGATACTCTACGTCACTCTAGGCTATGGCAACTTATGATTCTATTCAAGTTAAAGACGAAGCTGTAGAAACTCAGGCAGTGGGCATCATTATAAACACAGCATTTCTGTTTTTTCAAAGAAATTATAGTCAACAGAACAACAGCCTCTAAGGGTCTCCATGGATGGAGTTTGTAAGCACACTTCAACATATTTGTTCGATTATGTAGCCAATTGAACTTTGGTCTTAGAAGGTTTTTCTAACTTTCTACTGGTGACTCAACTGATTGATACATACTTTCATTCTGTCCTTATAGAAGACAGTCACAAAATAGTTGTACTAAGCTGGATTTTTTGTGTTTTGCTGTTGTTGTTTGCTTGGTTGTTTGTCCATCTCAACCCTTGTATTTTGTTTCTCACTGTTAAGAAATGTCAAGCATATCAGCCTCTCTGAGCAAGTTTAAGGATGAGCAAAGACTTTACAGAATTACATCCTTCCATTTGTCCTTTGTTTATTGTATCTTTTGTGGGGCAATATACAGCTGCATTTTTCTAGTAAAAGTATCATTATCTGTTAACAAGTATCAATGGTCTCTTGAGCTTACACACTATCACAAGAAAGTACAGGAAAATTAGTAAGGCAAGGAAAAATGAAAATTGCATTTAATTGTTTTTAATGGAGTTTGTGACTGATGTGGAGCTATAAGGATACTAAATCCCACTGAGGTTTCTATGACCCAGGTATTTCATTACACAGAGTCCTGTATTTCTTATTCCACCCAAAGTAAGAGGTCTTTGAAAGGGAGGCAGGGAAAAATGGTAAAGGATCCTTTTTCTTGGATTGTGTTTTATGATCTGCCTTAGTATGTTAAGTGATACCTTCTCACTTTGCAATTTGCAGATAGAGGACTGGACAAGGGCTTTAACTCCTCTTGTCTCCACTGAATTCATGGCTTTGTACAGATAAAAATTAAGAATTAAAATAGCAGTGAAAACAAGTCACTATAAACAAATAAAATGTATAACCATAAACAAATAAAATGTATAACCAATGAGGGAAAAAAATACAGCTAATCAATAAAATGAGCCTACCCTGAGGGTGTGAGTGGTTTTCTTAATAAGAAAACTAAGAAGGAGTTGCGAGTCCCACTTGCACAGATAACCTATAATAATAACCTTCTGAAATGTGATCTAGTGCCCTAAGGGGCACTGATGGTCTTTAGGACACAGGGATACATGGCTCCAGGGATTTCTGTGGATTCCAGGCCAGTGACATACCATTCTCCTCGGGAAAGGCAATTTCCCAAGCAGAAGGGTCAGCAAGTGGGCTGAGGACTCCTCCCACAACTCAGGGATAGGCTGTCCCAAACCGCATCCCCTAAGAGGAGGCATTCAGAGTTCAGTTGGCCCTGTGGTCCTTGGCTGTCCCTTGGTGATTTGGCTATACTGTACATGCGGCATCTAATGGAATTCAGTGATCCGGAACCCTGTTGTAAATCACTAGCCTGCAGGATAAAGGAAGAATGGAATGTAAGCCTTAACTTGGCATTTCCTTGCTTTGGGCCATTTATGTCTTTAGCTTGCAGATGTTTAGACATCTCTGCATTACTGCCCTCCATTCCCCTTTCAGTTACTAGAGCTTAAAATATTTCTGAAATGAAAACAAGTAAATAAATAAAGGGAACAAAACTGTCCTGTAGGTATCAACACTATCTTCTTGTATTTGAGTCATTGTGGTAAGTTAATGTCTAGTTAGGTGGGCTCTGGGTGTGTGGATATATGTGTGTGTGCAAATGTGTGTGTGAAGCCAGAGTTTAATTAAGGAGTCTCTTACATGTTCATTATGACTCTGATTTTACTTTTTTTTAGGGGGGGGGTGTTTAATATCAGCACCAAAATTCCCTCTGGGGTTGAATCCTAGAACATGCTGTCTCCAAATGTAGCTGCTAAGGGTTCTTTTTGTTTTGTTTTGTTTTACGGGCAGGAGGGCTTTTTATTATTCATGTTGAAACAGAGCCCAGCCCAACCTCCATGACTGGCTGTGTTCTAACATTAATGGCTTCTACCAGAAAGCTGCTGGGGGCTGCGGGGAACTGGAGCTTGTTTTAAAAGGTTCCGAAACTACCTGTTAACACAAGAGATAATAATGGTTTCAGAGGAACCATTTCAAAATTTCCCTATTAAAGAATATGTACTTAAGATGTTTCTAAAAATGTTTCAAGTCAAGGCTGTTGCATGGAGGTCAAGGTTCACAGGACAGAACTGCAGAGGCCTGGCACCTCACTGTCAACGTGCCTCCAGCCCAGAAGCCCAAAGACTTTGAATAAGCTACGCCAACTCCTGAGACAGGCTGGCTGTGAAATGGCAAAGTGGCTGCCACTGGAGGGCTTGCTCTCACCAAGAGGAATCCCTGACCCCTATCTCTATGCCTGATCACTTGCTATGAGTTTTCTGCACAACACTGGCATCCTTCTAACTCTTCTAGTCTAAGCCCATGCCAGGAAAGACTATGCACTGAACTTCCCTTCCTGAGTACATGCAGAAGTCCACGTTTTGACGAACTGTCATGTTGAGATGCTTTATTTCTGTACTCTAGTGCTGCGACTTTGCAGTGAAACAGCCACTGAGTACTCGGAAGACCTCGAAGAAGGTCTCCCAGAGAGATTTCCATGGGGGAGAGTGACTCACCTCTGGGGTATCCTGAGGTTTGGGGGCATTCTCTTTCTCTTTTTCTTTCTTGCTCTTGGGGTTTTCATGTTTGATGCGCTTGGCTCCAGATGCTTTTGTTTTATTCTCATTCTCCTGTGAGCTGTTCTCTTGTTTCCTAGGTTTGACTGGAGGCAGGGGCTTATCTTCCTCTCCTTTAATAAACCTTTCATATGGGAGGATTAATCTAAAAAGATAACAGGATAAATGATTGATCAGTGGGAGTAATTGCAGCAACACTTGACACAAGGGATTTCACATTCTTTTCTCAATATTAGGGAATGAGTCTATCTTCAATGACACTGACGCAATCTAGAAATGTATTCTATCAGTGAATGGTCTACTTCTCTGATCAAAATCAGTATCTGGTTACTTTCCTACTTCTCTGCAAGACTGTTAGCTTTTATGAGCCTACAGATCAAGGATACCAGTGGAAGCAGGTAAGGCTGACATACTACCATTACTGTCCGTGCAGCAAGTGAAGTGCCAACAACAATATCAAGAGACTTAATAGTTCAACAGGGAGCTCTGGTAGCCTAGTGGTAAGAAGCTGTACTGCAATCCCCAAGGCACACAGTTCAAACCCACTAGCTGCTTCAAGGGATAAGGATGGGCAATTTCATCCCTTTTGATTAACTGCCCCTGGGTCCATTCTGACTCGATGGTACACAACAACAAGGAGTCACAGCAATGATTATTATTGTTAGGTGCTATCAAACACATTTTGACTCAGGATGACCCTAGGTGTGCAGAGTACAACTTCTCTGTTGGGTTTTCAGGTCTGTGACCTTTCAGAAACTGATATCCAGGTCCTTCTTCCAACAGCCAACTTGTCTAGGGGAAGTCTGGTGACTTACTCCATAAGGAGTTGCACTGCTAGCTCAATGCCTATGCATCTCTGGCAGTTTAAATTCACCAGTCACTCCTTGGGATAAAGATGGTTGATTTCCTCCCACGCATCTTGGAATGCTGGAGGGTCAGCTGTCAGTCAGTTCCAACTCAACTGTAATGAGTTAAGCTGCTGACGGCCAACTTTTCACATAGTAGGTGAGTGCTAAACCGTTTAGGCCAGCCATGGATTCCTAACAATAGTTGCCCTTTAGTCATTATCATTCCTTCAGCAACTACTAATTGAGCACCTACTACAAGCCAGGCAGTGTTCTAGATATACAGATACACACCAGTGAATAAAACACTCACAGTTCTTGGCCTTGCAAAGCTTGTATTTTTGCAGGTACTACTATGACAGGTTTGGAAGCAAAAGTGGCATCCACTTATCCACTTCCTAAACAATATGCCTCCGGAAACTCTATGAACTTTGATAAATGTTGATAGTTGTAGAAGGGCTTCAGGCCCTTTTGTTCACAGGGTCGCTATGAATCATGCTCAACTGAAGGCAATCATCAACAACAACAACTCTATCCACCAGCTGCTCTGTAGGAGAAAAGATGCGCAATCTCACCCTGTGCAATTTACTGACTCTGAAAACCCACTGGAGGGTCAACTATGAGTTTATATAATATTAACAACATATGCCATGTACTACATATTACTTCATGAAATACCGATACCCTCCTTAAAGATACAATTTTTCCCCCCTAAATACGTGTGAGAATCAAGATGCAAAATAATTTGCCTAAAAGCCACCCTATTTGTTAAAGGTGGAATTTGAGTATTTGTCTTTTCCCCCAAGCCCACATTTCTACTATGTCAAAATGTATACCAGACACTTAAGATAAGAAGGGCAGTGTGACTGAGGGCCAGCTACCTCAGCCTGCACCTTGGGGTGTTGACTCCTGTCTGAAGAGATCTGTGCTGAGGGGGTGGGGTTCAACAGTGTAGAGGGCTACTTGGGGCTCAATGAGAAGGAAGGTGGGCAGACCACTAACTATAGCCCCAAGAAGCAGAGGACTGAAAAATTAAAACATTTTAATTATATAACTTTTAAAACTAAGTACATAAAATTGCTTTAAAAAGAGGTACATCAAACGGCTTTCGTTTTAATCTGTTTTCCCTTTGCGACATAGCTCTTGATCTGAAAGGAAAAAATAGCTGATGTAATTAAAAGGGATGGATTGCATTACAATCTCAGTTTCAACTTCAGTGATTAAAGTTTTTATAATGCATTTGGTATGATTAATGACTCACTGTGGGATTAATACAAGACTCGGTCTTAAAAATACGAACTTCCATATAGCAAACATAATTTGTTTTAAATAAGACAAGTTGACTCAATGAAGAAAATGTACTTGGCTTATGAACAGCATAAATTCCTTTCCAATATTGGGATGTCTAATTATTTTTAAACTAAGAATGCCAGGCAAAAGCTAAACAAAAGGGGGGGGGGAGTCTCCTTTGGTTTGAGTATCTGTGAGATATCTTCAAATTGGTTCCTTAAACTTTGCAATCTGGATCTCGACTTCTTAAACATACACCCTGCTCAAGTTAAAGAGTTTGAATGTGCGGCCACTTATGATCATAATATTACTCTCCTTAATAAAATGCCACATAAATTAGGGGAAAATCAAATCCTGATTTTTAGCACATTAGAAGGCAAGTTAGCTTTCTGAGCATGCTCAGACAAGGCAGTGCAGGGAGGCGTGGATAATACTTTTGAGCCCCAAATCTGGCAGGGAGCCAGCCACGAAGATCAACACAGCCCATGGGGAATAGTTATCTTCAGATCCCATTACAAACTGAGTTTAAACATGTTACAGCTGCTAAAACTGGGAACTGTTCTCTCTATGTAGACTTACGAAAATAATACATGGTTGCCAAATACCTGCTTCCCACTGTAATATTACAGTTAATGTTTATATAATAAAAAGCATAACTAAGCAGACGAGAGAAAAAAGCAATCTTGTTCATACTTGAATGTACTCCATCTCATCTGTAAAGTCCCCAAACATACCCCCCCAATTCCTTTCATCTGCACGGTTCTGCCCGGGAGTCGATCCCTTTCAACATCAGCAGATTGGGGATTACTGTCTATGAGCAGAATGTACTCAATTTTTTTAAATGGGGAAAAATATTTTAAATGGAATTTTAATGAAAACATATTTTTATTGGGGATAATTGTTGGGACAGATAGATTTGTTTTACTTTTGTTTGGTTGCCATGGGGAACCCATGGTGAACTGAAGTCTGGGTATTCCAACGGTCACTATTTTTGTTTTTACCACCCTGCCCCCATCCCCCAATTTCATCCTCACCTAAATTGTTTTTATAGAAAGCATTATTTTAAACTGTAGGGAGGGCACTGAGGAGAACAAGGGGTCAGACACACACACACACCACAGCCAAGTTGTGCCCTAGTATACGTCTCTCCCCTTAGTTCTGACGGTTCTGGGCCAACCCAGATCTTTAGATGGGTGCTTAGACGATTTTAATTTCATCTTATAATTTTTTCAGTTCACAAGATGAGGCAATTTTAGTCGTCCCCCCTTTTTCTCTTTCATTCTGTCCCCCCCTTCACTGAACTCAGGAGCTGGCTGGCCGACAGCAGTAAAAAAAACACATTTCACTTTGCTGGTCAAAGGCCTAAAGCCAGAAGCAGGAAATCTGGAATTAAATGTTTCTTGTATCTGGAAAGAGGCATGACTAAGGTAAAACTGAATCCAAACTCAAGCTGTGCTTGTTCAAGGCTTTCAGAGGGAGTGTGTGTTAGAGTATCCACATGTGACTGTGTGTGTGATATCAACCAAGTGGTTTGAACATTTTCTCCCCATCCTTCTAAATCACTGAAAGATAATTATAGTAGCTCAAGGGAAACAAAAAGGCTCCCGAGTTAAAAAATAATAAAAGTAGTAGCTAAAAGGAAGCAAGTAGAAATATGGCCAGCCAGGTTCTGTAGAACAGAGAACTGTTTCTCACAGCCCCCATGATCACTTCATATAGTTACTTCTGTCTGGTGCAATTCTCATTGAATGCTTTTTTTTTTAGTTATCCTGTCATGGTACAACACAATTAACCCATAGATATGATCTTATCATTTGATTATGAGAAGTTTTTACATGACAAGGGACAAGGGCCATTCTAGGCGTCTAAGTGTTTAAACATTCAAGACACATGCATTACAACAGGTTAGCAAATGTAAGGTCAACATTGCCCAATGGAGGAAGCTCAGGAGTTTTGTATGCCATAAAGAATTTAATATAGCATAACATGTCTGAACCTTGTGGTGATTATTCCTCAAGTATGTGCAGTACAACAAAAGATTTAATCAGTTTCTAAACTGTTACAGATAAAAGCAAAAATGTACCTGGGTCCCCTCAGAACTCATTACCCTGGAGAAATACCTGCAACGTCTGGGGCTCTAAGAATGATGTTTGGGAGTGAGGTGGGTGAAGAAATGAGGAAGGAAAGTGATACACTCATTAGAAAGTCCAGAGAGATTTGTTCCCCTCTTCCTCCACCCCCCAATCCACTTCTAGTCTGTGGATTGAAAGCTGGGCAAATAAATGGGCCTTCATTATTATCCAGATTTCACATTTCAGATTATCAAAACGCTTATTTACGATGCCATTAATGGCTCTGAAATAGGTAAACCATCATATGTTAAAAAAAATAACATCTTTCCATAGGCATAAGATTGTAGCAGCATGAGGTTTTATTTTTCCCTAGGAATAATACAAGAATAACATTTTCCACCCCAAAGCAGAAACAGTAGGGGGGCCTTTTGCTATCATGGAGATTCTTATTAAATTCAGTCACTGTGAAAAGCAAGCTTTATTCTTCTCTTTCTCACACACACATTTAAAAAAAATTTAAATAAAGATGACTTAAAAATCAACTCAAGTTAAAATTAACAAATCAATGGCATGATAACCTTGATTTATTAACATCTGGGCTGTTAAATTATCATCAGAGAAGAAATCGCTGGTTTGAAAAGATTTCAGCTTTGCTAAATCTCAAGTTAAATAATGGTGCCCGGTATACTAGCTTCTCAGATCTGCCTCATCTGATATTATGAAAAATTCAATACATTTCTCTACAGCAGAAGTCAGGGGTCAGCAAATCTATTACTGTAACGCAAGTAATCTGGCAACCTGCCAACTCTTTCTCCCTTTATTTTTTTTTTAAATGCCAAGACAGATAATTTTTTATTTACAAATTCTAAAATTCTCCAGGGCCTTTCTTCTCATTCGCAACAAAAAGCAGCCTCACAGAGAAGTACATCCTACGTGTC